TTTATACTCACTATTAACTTTAAAGCAAAAACATAAATGTTAATAATAAGTTGGTAAAGACTCACAGATGACTCTTATGACAGACTGGCACCTACAATAAAATCTAAGTTTTGGTGTAATTAGACGAGCAAATCTAATCAAATTGTGTTTTACTTGGCACATAACATCTGAGTATTAATCAAAATAACAAGGATAGTAGTAATTTTAAAAATTGCCACTATGAATCTTATGTTGAATCTGAAAATATCAGTCTGATGCTGTTTCACAAGGAACAGAGACGTTAAAAATGCTTTGAGCATTTTTACCACTCTTGCAAATTCTAACTTCCTCAAAAGCTATAAAATTATAGAGACCTGTGAAACCACAGCATATATAGTCATTGTCTCACTGTCCAATTTGACTCAGCTTTTTACAGAGATGACCAAAAGCAGAAATCTATTGTGAGACGTTCAAAGCTATTCCAGCCAGAACTGTTAACAGGGGGCCAAATGTGTACAGCCCCAAGGAAGGAAGTGCTGCTCCCAGGACATATAACGATGATGGCAATTGGGGAAAAAAACATGCAAATAAACGCAGCAAGCTAGAACAAGAATTTAAGATCAGCAGACTGGAAGGAGTGACATTTGTACCTCGCTCAGTGTCATGAAAACGAAATCGCATATATATTTAGCCCTAAATTGTTTAAAATAATGTAGAAAGAGAGTATAGAAATTGGCTTTCTAAAAGTCAAACTGTTCTTATGGCTTTTGGTAGCCATCATTATGCCATAAATATCTGTTCTTGAAAATGGAATTTTTGTGTGTATGCTTAACAATTTGAGGTTCCTACCTAGAAGACAAGGAATTGCTTTATTAAGAAATAGAGGGAATTGCTTTATTAAGAAACAGAGTGGTTGACCACAAGCTTGCCGTGCATGTGGTCCTGGGTTCAATCCCCAGTGCCTCCGTTAAGGGAAAAAATACATATACATAGAGAGAGAGCTACAGATGAAGAATAATTGGAAATTATTTCATCGTTTTGTCATGAGATATTTTTTCAGTTTTGTTTTTCTTGTTGCTGTTAGTATGATACTGGTGATTATTAACAGAATTAGCAAATGAAGGCTTGATTTTTCATGAAAAAGTGTAATACCAAAGTGCTCTTATATAAAACAGCGTATATATGTGAAATTTGTGTACATTGTGGATTTTATATGAAAATGATTAAAGTAGTTCAGTAAACTAAAATCTGTGGAGAAGGTGTAAATGCTTAAACCTCCTCCACTTCACAGTTCATTTTTACTCAGCAAAATCAATTTGCTTCCCAAGGATGTGATTTTGGTTTTAGCGTTATTTACACAGTGTGTTGTAACATTTCATGTTTTACGAGAAAGATGCAGAACCAGTGAGTGTAAATAACCTTTAGAGGACTGAGATAAGAGAAGAAAGGCAAAGCTGAACCTTAGGTTATCTAAGAAAATTAGGGCAATTTTATGACTTTTCTGTAATTATAAAATAATTGTGCCTGAACCTTAAAAATTTTTTATTAGTTCCAACCCAAAAAAGAGTTGAAGAGGTACAGATAGCCACATAGTATTACATTCAAATAAACAACATTTCCCTTCTGGCAATACAGATTGGTTTTTCCTTAAATCTTGCCTTCTTGGCACAGATATGAATGAATCTCTCTCATGTTAGCATACAAATCTGAGTTAGATGGATCCTAATATTTATAAGTAGTAAAGATAAATAATATAAAATTAAGCTCACTCTGGTTTCAGTGAAAAGAAAATAAGATTAATTTGTTAGGAAGCCTTGGTAATCTAACTTACCCAGTAAATTAATGCCATTCCCTTTAAGTTGTGCTAATCACATTTTTTTGCTGACTGCTATTGCCTCCATTAATTGATAAAATTTTTTGTTTCCTTGAAGGTGTCACAACTTTCTTATTGTGTTTGAATTTGTTTAATTCAGTGGAATTTATAATCTGTTATTTTGATGATTTTTTGAAATCAGGTGTGGATATACAGTTTGTGAAAGATAACTTTCATTCTGCAGGGATCAAGTCAGTTTGAATTTGTTAACAGCGTTGGTCATGTTATTTTTTTTTTCTTTAAGTCAATACATTGTTTGCCCATGGCTTAATAGACCAAAAGCAATTATTTGGAACCAAACTTACTTTTGATTTGCAAAGTAATGAGTTTAATCTAGTAGTTCATAATGTTAAGTCTAATAGGATTGGGTTTAGAGTTTCTTAAAAAGAGAATGTCAAAAACGTAAACAGATTCCTATCCTAAATTTAATAAAGCAATGAAAAGGCAAAGCCAGCTTTATTAGGTGCATTATTTGGAATTGGAGTTAAAAAATTCTGCACATTAAAAATTTTAAAGAGGAAATAAGCCCTTGCCAACCAAGTGCACCCACTCAGAAGTTTTCTTATGGAAAACAAAACAAAACAGACAAACACCTTTCTTTTTCACTTATGTTATTTGCAACATGAATAAAAAATATGTGCTAAATAATATGTAAAATGACCTCTACCCTCTAAAAAACTTAATAAATTGAATTAGTAGGAAGAACATTAACTCACTTTCCTATTGAATTTTTATGTTCAGTATAGCTTAATCAATTATATTTCAGTGAATATTACCAAAAACATTTCATTACTTATTATACATTGACTTTTAAAAACATTTTGTCTACAGTCAATAATTTATGCTTAAGAACTTGAAAATTCTTTATTTGTATAATTGCCAACAAATAGCAAATCAGATTGGGCTGATTGTTACGTGCGCTATTTTGAAATTTATTCAGACCGTAGCTTCCAATTAGTCTAGGTTGTCTAGAAATATAAATTAACTAAAATAATGTAATATGATCTGGAAATAAAAATCTGAGGCATATGTTTTATAGTTATTTTAGTATTTATGCTTTAAAAAATAAGTGGCAGTTACTGACGATTAGTATTGAATTATGTTGCAAAATATTGATTGTTTTGTACTTATGTGTCACAAAATCAAAATTATCATAAGTTCTATGAAATTGTTCTACCTTAAAGACCTCTTCCATTCACTATGCATATTTATTGAGTAAAGCTTTTGCATTAAAAGGCAATAAGGCAACGAGGTACATGAACAGACAGAGTTCAAAACAAGATTTAAATAAGCCATATCAATATTGGTGTGCCTTTGATTAAAAGTAATTGTTACATTTCACAAAACTGCTTATTAACTCTTTGTTGGCATGTAACCCATTTCTGTCACTTCCATCATTGTCTTCTTTCTATATATATATATATATATAT